CGTAAAAGACAGGAACGCCTTAGCCTTATACAGTGAAAAGATGGTACTGACGACATAACATGTACGTCTTAAAGATATGGATCGAGTTTCTTCAATCCATATGATAACAAAATGCTTGAAGCAGACGCAAACCTGAAGCAAATGGCCCGAAAAAAGAGGCGAACCCAATCAACAATATTGTTAGCAATCAACCTGAGTCCTCCTCCTGATTTTGGCTTCATGCACTCTAACTTCTGTATTGGAATCAGAATCAAAGATTTACGGTTCATGTTTGTTGATTCTACTGATCTCTTGAATAAAATGGCACAGAACCATGACGCCAATCGATTTACCCTTTTGCACCATTTACTTGGCCATGATCCACTCGATCATTTCCCCTTTGACTAGCAACGGCGCACATCAAGACCCAATAGTATTCGTCACTCTCTAGCGCAATGGTCCAAGTAACTTCAATGATCTTTGGTCTTGCTGCCATGATCATAGCGGAAGCTGCACCCAAAAGTCTCAGCGACAATTTACCTGCGTACGAAATCCCTGATTTTGACTACCAAACCCTTAGCAGTGGAAACACACCCAACGATGTTCTTACCGCACTAAAAAAAGATGGGATCATTAGTTTTACTAACGTACCATCGTACGCCCAAGTGCGTAGCACGTATCTCAACTTGGCCGCCACCTGTGCAGTTTCGGCAAAAGAGACTAATGCCGAGTTCTTACTACAAAAGACACTCACAGATGGTACAAAGCGGTACACCATCAGTGCAGTGTCCGGTCAAGATACCGATGCCTCAGCCACCGAAACCGACAAGATGTGTCCGGGTTACAAACAAGTTTACGACGAATTTTCATCTCTGTTGGAGATGGTTGTACTCACAGTCGCGACAACACTTGATGCTACCACCTTCACTACCAAAGATGGCTACGGTAAATCCATCTCGAGTCGAAAACTCTTGATGGAGGCTGCTCATGTCGACCACTTTCATGCGTACTTAAACCCGCATCAAAGCGAACGTCAGCTCCAGCAATCAAACTCTGTAATTCAATCTTCGTCTGATTATTCACTTGAGTTACATACGGACGATGGCATGTTCATTGTGTTTGCTACACCCAGTTTCTACAAAGTCGACACCAACTCGACGAATTATACGCTTGAATCTCTATCAACTGATAGCACCGATCATTCTGAAACGGGTCTCATCATTCAGCTCCATGACGGCCAGCTCGTGCGTCCAATTCTCAAACCCAACCAAATTACGCTCATGGTAGGAACGGGTTACAATGA